AATACCAGGAAAGAAGTCCTCTGGGGCCTTGACACACATTGCCCACTGGCACACCCCCTTCCTGGCCCCAAATTCTTCCCAAGACTCCAGGGCCATGGTCAGTGGCAGTTTTGAGGGCTGACCTGAGGATGAAGAATCAGCCACTTCTTTCTTGTCTGCCTGCTGAAGGCAGTTCCTTCAAACCAGCTCCCCCTTTCCCTCCTCCCGAATTCACCCCCAGGCACCAAGCAGGTGGGTCCCCTTCCGAAGACTTGAGACCCAGGGTGAGAAGAGCGGAAATGAGGCACAGGCCCCAGCAGCTTCTTCTCAAGGTAAAAGAAAAGCCCTGTACGTCTTCTCACAGTCCTGAAGGTTGATGTAATGAGGAAAATTACCCTGCTTTCTCTGGCAACAAACAAAGGATCTGCAGCTGCTGGAAGCCCTGAGGTGAAGACAACAGGCTATCAGGTAGCAGCCAGGGGCCCTTCGCAGACATGCCCCAGGGGGTTACTCTCCTGATGTCTCAGGAAGTGCTGGGCTCTGAGGACCACCCTGCCTCCCTGTGGTGGCTGTGGCTCTAGGAGGGCGCTTATCCTTCCCTGTCATCAGGTGCTGTGAGGATTAAATGAGATGACGCATGGGGACTGCTCCGAGTGAATTTGCGTAGCTGTGTTATCTTTTGCTTCTTCACGCCTACCATCTGATGCAGGTCAGAGAGTCCTGAGGATCCACCAATTTGAGTTGAAAGATGTGAGACTGAGGTACAGTGAGATAATATAAAGATAGAACTCTGACCCACAACCTGCCCAGGAAACCAACCGTTATCTACAGCAACCAGTACTGGAAGCTGGATTGCATAGGCCACGCCATCCCTACCCACAGTCCAGGAAGTCAAACTAAACCCCCGCAACAATCAGCCCCAAAGAGGCAGGGCCTGATTACTAACTGCCAGTGTCCCTAATGTGCCCCCCTTCCAAATCAAGGGCCACCAGAGAGAGCCAAACACATAGCCTTACCGGTCTCATCAGCTGCCCCTCAGTCAGTTGAGGCCCTGTGGCTTCTGTGCTTACTGGCCACCCTGAAGCCTTCCCTTATTACACAACAAAGCTTTCTCTCTGGCGTCCTTTGAGTCTGCCAATATAAGTGACAGTGGCTGCTTCCCAGCTAGAACAATTTGTAAATAAACAGCCTCCACCTGCTGGCATGTGAGTGGCCCTCACTTATTTCCGCAGAAGAAACACACACTCCTGGGCTCACAGGGCTCAGATAGACCTATTAAAAAGAGCTGAGTGCCGGCCTCCCCTGGTGGCACAACGATTGAGCGCTGAGTTGCAAAGCTGCCCACAGCCTCTGCAGCACCAGTTAGATCCCCGGCCACCGGCGAGGGTCCCACATGGCACAGCAGACCTCTCCTGCCGCCCGCTGCTCCCCTCAGCAGTGTACTTCGTCAGTCTGCCAGTTCTGTTCCCTGCTCTGGCTCTGGTGATTTCTCTCACCCTCCTACGCTTCTGACTATACCCAGTGCTTATATAAATAAATAAACAAAAAAAAAAAAGCCGAGTGACTTGCATCAGGAGGAAGTGGGGAGACTGGGACACATGAGAGGAGGGGAAAAGAGTCAGAGTTGGACACTGGACCCCACTCTCCATGAGGCCTGCCCGCCTTATGGACAATTTCATTTGTGTCATTGGTTTTCTCAGGCCTTGCTTTTTCCTTCCATAAAATGGGTGATGGACATCAAGGGGACGGAACCCTCTGAAGATGATCTAACTCTGAGGGACCAAGAATAGAAGACAGACCCAGGGTACCTGTATGTGACAACTGGGCTGGCGAGGTGTCAGCAGATGGCTCTCTTCCCCAGCACTGAGGTGGCCCACCTCTTCTGTCAGTCGCACAACCGGGGACACCGGAAGGCTAAGCAGAGTCCAGCAAAGCCTGCTCAAGCCTCTCCTTCACACACAAAAAGAGAGGGCTTTTCTAATTTGAAAGAGAAACCACAGAAAACGCTCGGCCCAGGGCCATCTCTGTAGCAGCTATCTCAGCTTCAGTCCCTATGGCCCCTGGTCACCAGCCCTCAGTCTGCTGCTGTTACAGAGCAGCCCTGATATGAAAACGGGTTGCCTGGCTGTGGGTCCTCACCCATGCACTTAAAAGGGACTTATTAATACTTCACTACAGGCACACACAAAAGGCTAATAAAAGGTTTATTTACAAGGAAAGGGAAAATGAGGAAATGTACAGCTCAGGGGGAAAAGTGGGAAATAAAGTCTTTAATGCGTCCTACCCGATCCGCCAACCTGGAAACCCAAAGGCACTCTGAGAGCTGGACGAGCGCTGTGAGCTGGCGGAGAGCCAAAAAAAGGGACACCCCCACCCCAAAGCCCACGTGTCTGGTTTTATACCAAACCTGGCTGCTTAACCCCACCCTTAGGTTCCAGCCACCTTCCCTTCGGTGGTGATGGGATTTGTCTTTCCCAATGTCCTGATGGCTTTGGTCTGGAGTGGGGGTGGAGTCCACAAAGCCTGTATGGAATTAGCTTTAGGACATCCTTTTCCCCCTAACAATTCCCCCCTTTCACTTTTTGCCACCATTTCCATGGTGATGAAGATGGAATATATGACATCCTTTTCCCCCTAACACTGCCACCTCTGTGAAATTCAATTACTGGACACATCATGGCCTTCTCTTTCTAAGCCGAGGCAGCAAGGGGGAGCAAGAGCTATAAGCAACACAGGAGGGAGTTCAAATGCATCTTTTAACAGACTTCTGACTGGAAGGATATTAAGAGAAATAAATTTCCGAGGCTGAGGCACAAAACCAAGGGCTTCCAAGCTGCCTTTCTCTGACACTGGTCACCAGACCCCCTGCAAAGGGCCTAGAGATTCATCTCACAAGGCACTACCAAATGGCCATGTCCTTGAAAGTCTTTGCTTCCAAACCACAGCTTCCTTGCCCATGCCACTCAGGGAAAGTTGATCTTTCTGGCAGTCCCAGCATTTTGTCCACGCCAGTATCACCGCAATCAGTGCCAACGATGACTCTTTTGAAATCATGGGCTCCTTCAAGGAGACACCTGGTCCACTGGCCTTTGTTTGTTTCCCATCCTCCAGAATAGGCAGGTGCTCACGTGAAGGTGGAAAAAAGGAAAGCATGAATGAACTCTCCCCTGATGGTGTACTACCCTAGCCCAGTCTAACTCTGCTATCCATTCTTTGTCTTTCTATCCTACTCTGGAAAACAGATAGCCAATTTTAATTGACTAGTACAGCTCTGACTGACCCTTGAGCGAACCCCAAGTGGCCTGGAAAGGCAGACCTGGCTTCTGAGATGGAACAACTGGATATACGGCTCTGAGACCCCCAACAAGTCTCTGTCTCCCTCAGCTTCTCTCTCCATCCATGAAATGAGATGGCAGAGACAGCTCTAATATTTTATGGGAGATCCTCCCTACTAGTGGCCCTTGGACTAAATTATGTTTGCAAATATCTTTCGTGTTGGTAAAATTCACATAAAAATCGTTATTTCTAGCTTCTATTGAATAAAACAATCAGAACTATCCCATAACACACCTGACTGAAACTAAGCAGGTCATGTACCAGTTTGCCACAGTCCCCACCACTCCCTCTTGTCATATACCCAATCACTTGATACTTACATACTAGTCTTAGACATTTACACTTAAAACCCCTGAATTATGGTCTCAACTTTGTCTGCTGAGACTTAGAATGACCAGTATAAGTTTAACAGACACCTAGACCGGTTCCCACACCCAGACATTGTGATTCAATTGGTCTAGGGGTAGAGACAAGGCAAGAGTGTTTGTAGTAAAGTTCCTTTGACTGTTCTCAATTCAGCCAGTATCAAGAAATGATGGTCCAAGGGGACTGCTGGCTTTGAGAACCAATCTGACCTTGCAAAGAAGCAGCCACCAGAAAAGGAAGGGCGGAAAAAGTAGAACAGGTTGAAAGTGCCCACAGGTGCCTCTGGGAACAAGTCTTGCTGTCTCCCCTCCTGCACACAACACAAACCACCCTCCAATCATAAGTACCTTTGCATTTTAGGCACATATTCAATGAGCTCACTCAGAAACAACTATAAAGACCAACCCCACCTCCTTGGCCTTCTGTCTGCATCCAGCTATGGCTCTCCAGGTCCTGCCTGGAGCTCCCTCTGAGCCACCACAGATCCCTGTTTGCCAATTCATGCCTCCGGCTCCCCTCTGAGCTCTGTGCAACTTCCTCCTAGGAAGCCTAAAATCAGCTCTGAGATATGCTTGCTCAGGTCTCTCTGGTTCTATCAGCAGTTTCTGATTCAGTCGCTCTAAAAAGCTCTTAGACACTTTCATACCTTTAGGAAGTAGAGAATTTCAGAAGGTAAGAGTCATCTATCTGGCTCCTCCTGTGCCCTTCTCAATTCTCCAGCATTTCACATTCACACACCAAACACCCAGACTCCACCCCATGGGTTGCTGAGGGACAGTGGACCCTCACAGAAGGTCAGAGGGACTGCTCTCTGGAGAGGGGAGTGGGCACAGCAGAACCACTGCATCCTGCTCATCCCTCCCAAGAAACTATATCGAGAGAATCTACACTACCCACCCGCTGGCCTCCCATCCATCTCCCTGGCACACATCCTCATCCTCTTACTCTGTGTGTGTCCTGCAGAGAAAACACCAACAACCTTGGCATCTGTCACTCCTGACCTAAGAAAGTAATTCTAGACTGGGGAGTCAGAAGCAGGGCTGGTTTGAGTCTACCAAGGAATAATTATTCCTTGGCCTCAGACCTCAAACACCCTGCTTTAGACCATTCCAGGACCTCACCCTTGACCATGAGTCAATCAGATTCCCAGTCAGCTAGAGGCAGGAGTGGTGCTTAGAGATTTCCAGGACAGGGAGGGAGGACACGGGTCCACCCTCGTAGCCTCCTCTGGGAATAATTTCACAGGTCTAGCTAACTAGGAGCGAATAGCCCTTGTGACATGCCCAGCCAGGCCCCTGAGCTGACCAGGGCCTGCCTACCTTGGAGCTGACTGAATGTGGTCATGAACTTGCTGGTCAGGGACTTGAGCTCATTGTTGGCCAGTGTGATGAGGTGGATCTGGTCAGTGACATTGCGCAGGACCTTGTAGATGCCGATGGGGAAGGAAACCAGCTTGCACTCAGCCAGATCTGCAGCCAAAGAACAAAGACAGACCAGAGTTAGTGGCCACAGCTGCCCAAGAACTTGTCTCAAACCACACGGGCCTGGGCCTTAACTCCCTTTCCCCACGATGCAATCTCCAGACACTGCCCTCCCCCTTCCAAGAGCCTCCTTTGTCACCATTAAGCACACTTGTTCCCATCTCACACATTGAGCCTTATGGTTACTTCTAGCACCTTCTCTGTTATCTCAGTCTACCAGCCGTATGCCAAAGGCAGAGCTCTGCCAGAGCAATAGCAACCAGCACTCACAGTCATGAGCTTGAAGCCCTGCAGAGTCCACATATTCCCCTGGAATCATCAACGACTCCACTTTGTAGCTGCAGGGTTATGAGGATTTTATAACAGTCTATGTCTCTGAAAACAGGCAAGTCACATAGACTTTGTGGTCGACCTGCTTCCCAGTCTCATCACCCTGAAGGCAAGTATATGTGCAGGGCAGCAGTGAAGACATCGAGGAGACCAGGTTCACAGTTCCTCAAATGGTAAAACACGTTACGACGTGGCCTCACAACTCCCTGCAGCTCCCGGCCCAGGCACACACCCGGGAGAAACGACTGCCTATCCCACAGCAACAGCGCTCGTGAATGCTGCAGCATTTTCCACAACAGCCAAAGCAGTGGAAACAAGGCAAATGCCCATCTACACATGAACAGATAAGCAAAATATGGTATCTCCTTTAAAATGAATAGTACTGAGGGCCTCCCCGGTGGCCCAGCAGGTTGAGCACAGCGCTGTGAATCTGTCTGCAGCCTCTGCACCCTTGGTTCAATTCCCGGCAGGCCAGGAAGAAACCCACATGGCGCAGCAGACCTCTCCTGCCTTGCCCACTGCTCCCCTCAGTAGTGTCTTTGGTCCATCTGCCTGTTCTACTCCTGGCTCTGGCTCTGGTGAATTCTCTCACCCTCCTGCGCCTCTGACCTGTACCCCAGCTCTTGTATAAATAAATAAATCTTTAAAAAAAAAAAAAGGAATAGTACTGGGTCAAAAAAAATGAAAGAAAAGAAACAAAGTGCTGCTGATAGTGTTACAACGTGAATGGACTTGAAAATCTGTTAAAAACTCAAATTCCCTGGCACCATCCCAGACCCACTGAAGCAGAATCTCAGGGGAAGGGGATTAGGACCAGCATTTCCAGATGATCTTTACTAGGAAGTTTGCAAGACTTGGACTAAATGATCTCTAGTTTCCCTTCTCACCTTGAGATTCAGTGAAAAAAGATCTGATGAACAAACCTAGGTGTAAAAAATATAAAACACCTAGATGCTTAAAAAACAAAGAAACAGGCAAACAATAGATTGTGAAAAAGGATCTACAAATAGGATAGACAAAGAGTTCTCTTTATAACTTAAAATATTAAGTCATATTAATAACTTATATTAAAATATAATTTAAAAAAGGAATAGTATGGGGTCAAAAAAAATGAAAGAAAAGAAACAAAGTGCTGCTGATACGTGTTACAATGTGAATGGACTTGAAAACCTTATGTGAGTGATGAAGCCAGTCACAAGTGACCACATGTTGCAGAAGTGCAATTACATGAAATGTCCAGAGTGACATAAACCTACAGAGACAGAGAGTAGGGTCATGCTCACCTGGGCTGGGCCATGGGTGGCAGCCCCAGGGCGAAGCTTTCTTTGTAGGGGTAATACAAGTGTTCTAAAATTTGATGGTGGTGAGGTTTAATTGCGCTACTCTGGATATACTGAAATCACTAAACTATACACTGTAAATGAATTATATCTCAGTAAAGATTTGTTATACATGCAGCAGGGAGACACTGAAAACTTGGGCACTTGGAATTAGACTGAGCAGCTCATCTAAGTCCTCAAGTGCCCTGAGCCTCAATTTCTTTATCTGTGAAAAGGGGGTATCATCATCAACCTAACAGGGTTGTCAGCAAAATTAAATGTAACTAAAAGCACTAAATGTACTAACAAAGCCCCTGGCAGGTTGGTAGTGCGAAAGTTACATATGTTCCCTGATGAGTGCCCCCATTACTGCTCACTCCCCAATCCTGGAACCTCAGGAGCATTGACCAACTGAGACAGCACTGACCCATCTATCAGCAAACTCTTTGTCTTTTTCCTAATGAGGCTGAACAGGGCTCTAACCCACTGAAGATTGTTCCAAAGTGAAAATGCAAAATTCACTCGGATTCCTTCTTACATGCCAGCAAGAACATAGTTTTTAAAACTCTTCTGAATAGCAACAATAATACAAAGTCCAAAGGAATAATCATGACTGAAGGCCTTCTCCTTCATTTGCCCTCTAGACAAATTTGTGTCAGTTCAGATGACACCTCCTCTAAGAAGCCTTCTCTGATTGCCCAGAGCAATTAGTGGCTCCAGCCTCTGAATCTCACATAGTGTGAATAAGCCCTTTTTATTCTATATTGTATTAATTCATGTCTGCTTTTTTATGGGACTGGGAGGGACCACCTCACACAGGCACAATCTCTATTGCTCTCAGCTCGCAGCAGGGCAGGGTACTGGTGACCTTGCTCAGTTGATTTGAGGAAGGAAAGGAAACAGGTGGGATGAGGGGAAAGTCCACATGATTAAGGATCCACAGAAGATGTAAGGCATCCTACCAAGAGTCCTAACTGCTTCATCCGGTTCTAGGCTGCACAGACGAACTCAGCCCTGCTGCTATCCAATGTTGGGCACCAGCTCTTCTATCAATTGGCAGGGTTGGCAGAAGCTACTGCCAAGTTCTGCCAGAGATTGAAGTCAGGCTTTCAGTAGAGAGAGATCTGGGGCTGGAACTGGACCAGCTCTTTGGGCTCTAAGACTGGGGCAAGCCGGGGATTCTAGAAAGAGCTAGCGCTTCTACAAAAGGCTCCCTAGTGCTTTATGCCAGATGCACAAAGGGCAAGAAAGTCTTTGTTGTGGTTGTTATAAATCGTAACAGCATTTTTAGGTAAAGGCAAAGATCCCAAACAGTCTAGGAACAACATCAAGGGAAACATCAGAAGGCTTTCCCTTTAAAACAAAGAGCAAAATAAGAATGCTCCCCATCACCAGTATCCCTGCAGACAGACTTGGAAGTCCTGGCCTATGAAACAGCAGAAACATGGAAAATATCGAGAAATGACTATTATGTGCATATAAAATCATTGCATAACCTCAAAACCCCAAAGTAGACATCTGACAAATGACACACATTAAAAAAATTTCAGCAAAGTGGCTAATAAAACAAACACGCAAAATTAAAAAATATTCCTATATACCACCAATAAAAACATATAGTTTTTAAGGGTCCTATTCCAAATGGCAACAATAGAAAACACAATCACAATGGAAAGAACACTTGACCAATATTAAGAAAAATAGAAGAGTTCACAAAGATTTTTTTTTAAAGATTTATTTATGTATTTACACAAGCACTGGGTACAGTCAGAAGCGCGGGAGGGTGAGAGAATTCACCAGAGCCAGAGCCAGAGTGGGGAGCAGAACAGGCAGACTGATGAAACACACTGCTGAGGGGAACAGCGGGCACAGCAGGAGAGGTCTGTCACACCATGTGGGACCCTCGCAGGCGGCTGGGGATTGAACCAGCGCTGCAGAGGCTGTGGGCAGCTTCGTAGTGCAGCGCTCAACCTCTGCACCACCGGGGAGACCCACACAAAGATGTTTTTAAAAGCAAATTTGTATGTGAAGCTATTTATATCGCTCATGGAAAACAAGTCAAAATACTGAAATGATATTGATTTTTTAAGAAATTAATTTAGCCTTTTTTTCCTCTCATTGATCTGTCTAAAGCTTGTTTATTCGCCAGCCTAGAAGAGCCCAGAAGGGCACTGGATGATTTCCCTTGCACCCCACATCTGAATTGAGGGTTCCATCTCTAGAAGAAACCAAAATTGCAACTGAAAACATTGCTTGAGCTGTGCTATGAACTGCAGAAAAGGTAAATTTCATCTTTTTGTGAACAGAACTGGAACATTTGCTTGTTTTCTCTCCCCGACACCCCAAAATATGAACTTTTAAAATGCCTTTTATTATGGCTTGCAACCAGTGCCCTCAGGAACTGGGCACAACTGTTTAATGGGACTTAACTATTCTCAAGTCTAAGAAACAGTGTCAACATCTTGGACTAGTCACTCCGTATTTCACATCTTTTACAGGATGTGCAGTTTCAGGCTGAGTCATTACCTGACAAGTCACCACTGCTAGGGGACTGACTTGGCTCATGGGGCTGTGGGAATCAAACATAATGACAAAATTATCATTTTTTTAATTTGCAAAAGCATTTTATTTTTTTAAATATATATTCTTTATATATATCTTTTACATCATTGTGTATTCCCCATAAAATTCCCACCACCAATTCACCTGTGAACCTTCACCATAGTCCCTTGTGGTCTTCTCTCTCCTATTTTGATCCCTTTTCCTCCCCCTCCCTCGCAGAATGTCTCTTATTTATGGTTGCCTGCTAGTTTTGGGGTTTTTTTATTCTTATCATCATTGTTATTTTTCCCCCTGATCCCCTATTTGGTTCCCCTATATTCCTCCTATAAGTAAAACAATTCTATATTTTTCTTTTTCTTTTTGGCTTATTTCACTTAACATAATTCCTTCTAGCTCCATCCATGGTGCTGCAAATGGCATGAGTTTATCTTTTTTGATTGCTGAATAGTATTCCATCATGTATATGGTCCACATCTTGATCCAGTCATCTAATTTTGGGCATCTGGGTTGTTTTCATATCTTAACCTATTGTAAATAGTAAACATAGGGGTGCAGGCATCTTTTTGAATTAATATTTTTGTGTCCTTTGGGTAGATTCTTAGGAGTGGAATTGCTGGATCATATGGAAGCTCTATGTTTAGTAGTTCAAGAAATCTCCACACAGCTCTCCATAGTGGTTGGACCAGTTTGCACTCCCACCAGCAGTGCAAGAGAGTTCCTTTTTCTTCACAACCTCACCAACATTTGTTGTTGCCTGTTTTCTTAATGTGTGCCATT